CCTGTCCCAAGGCTCTCCCTTCCTCAGTGTCCTGTGCTGGCAGTTTTTCCAACTCTCCACCCCTCTCCCTTCACTGCCTCTGTAGCTGTCACGGTCCCTATTGCAATAGGCAAGTTCCGGCTCTCACCACTGAGCTCCTCAGTTTCAATCCTCAATCGTAACTAGTCACCTCAGTTACATCTGGGGAGCCTTCTCCAGGTCAGTCCGCCTCCCAGAACCTGAGCCTCGAGCACAGAGCCCCCCTTCCCAGCTGCGTCTCTGTCCTTGGAAACCACCCTAGCATCACGGCCTCTCAGAAACAATGTGGCCCAGTGTTTCCAGGCTTTCTTACTACGTTTTATTTCACATACTTGAAGGTATACGAAATCCATTTTCCATCACCATCTCATCTGTGTGTGTGTGTGTGTGTGTGTGTCGCTGGCACCAATCGCATGCGTTTTGATCTGTCAATGGTCGAAGGTGAATTTTGGTTGACACTCTCTATGGTAGAGAAAGGGCAGGTAGCGATATTAAAAATATTTCTTCCGATTAATTTTCCTTTCAAATGTGCACAAATCCGTGCACCGGGCCACTAGTATACACAGAACTGAAACGCGTTGATGCAATACTTACCCCTTCTTTGTGAGCACAGTGAGCATTTCTATTCTATTCTATTTTTTAAAATCCAGGTGCCCTCCACTAAAGGGACGGCACAATTCAATAGCAGGATGGGACCCCCCCTCCGTCCAGGAAGCATTCCCCGGGGCGGCCTGCGCGTGCACGGAGGGAGACACTCGCTGTCCCTCCAGCCACACTCCCCAGCCACCGAGAGGGCTGGGTGCGGAGCGCGTGCCCAGCCTCCAGCTGGTCCGCAGGGTTACACCCGGGGCGGCGCGCCCGTCCCTGACCGGTGTCCTCTCCACCGGAGACCTCCTCTGCCCAGTCACGGCCACGCGCGCACAGCCCTACAAGTGCCACCGGCTCGTCAGCGGTCCCCCTCTCCTCCCGATCGGCCCCGCAAAGTTACTGCTCCTCGGCCCGTCTCCTCCCGCAGCCGCTGCTTCGGGCTCCCTTCAAAGTGCCCTCCCGGCCCCCCTCCACCGACCGGTCTCCTCCGAACGGCCGGCCCCTGCTCCAGCCCCCACGCAGCCCCCGCCGCACACGGGGTCACAGTCCCCTCGCCACCTCTCGTCCTGCTCGCTGGGGTCGGGGCCCCTGCGCCTCCCCTGCTCCTGGGCCGCAGCCCCTCGCGAGCGGCTCCTGCGGGCCGCGGTGCCCGCGTTGTCATTGCCCGGGTGGCCGCAGCCCGCAGCCCCTGCCGCACGCTCCCCTCCTGTCACCGACCCACTCTCCTACGGCCTCGCGGCCCCGAGCCTACGGGCTCGCCCGCCAACGGAGCCGCACGGACAGGCGCGCGCCGAGCCCCCCACCTGCAGTTTTGCGGCCCCGGCGGCCCCCGGTCCTCTTGGTTTTGTCGCAAGAGCAGCATCTCGGTCGAGGGAAGCAGAA